AGTTGTCATGATGAGTTAATTTTAAATTAATTTGTCACTCCAGTTAGACATTTTAGAGGGCTTAGTGAGAATGACTTTTGGCCTACCACATCATAGTGACGACTTGTACATGTACATGTGATTCTAAGTTCTCACATTTCTCAGCACACTCTAATTACTGCGCCTTTCAATAACATGCGGACTCTAAAATTCAGAGCTTGACCGACAAAAGCATTTTTCACTGCCATCAATCAAATGTTCAGTGGCTCCTCCCGGTTTTTGACTACTTCCAAACACTGTTTCGTTGTCTGAACTGTGCTCAATGATTTGATTACTGCATGCCTGGCAGTAGTGGGAAGCTGGGAGGAGCCACCGAACATTTGATTGACGGTAGTGAAAAATACATTTGTCGATTGAGCTTTAATAATAAATAAATAAATTTAAATGTTAGAGTCCACATGTTATTGAAAGGCGCAGTAAAAAAATAATTCCTGTTGTTTTGTGGCAGCTTTCAGGAGAGCCAAACTCTTCAGCGAGCCAGAAGTTAGTTGAACAGTTACAAAACGAGAAAGCAGAGTTTGAAAATAAATTAGAACAGGTAAGGTGTACATGTATCAGCACACTTCTGTAATTTAAACTAGGCGGTCTGTGGTTTAGGTAAGCAATTTATCCAGCTTCAATATTGTAGTAGTGGTATGCTGTGTTTATGTGTAGAATTAATAACTACCACCATCTTACAAACTGCTTATTCACAAGATAAGCAAACCCAACAATTGGCCCTCAAACAGAATGAGACTAAATGGATTGAAACTACTTACATGTAGAACTTCAACTTCAACTAGAACTGACCAATTACTTGTGTCAAATTTTGTGGTTCCTATAACTAATAAGAACACAGCAAAACCAAATGATTATTTTAATTTAACACAGAAAAAAAACAATTCACTAGCTTGATATTTGAGGTACTTCCGCTCAGGTCTAAACTTCAGTCACCAACAGCAGGTCTGTACAAGACTGAAGAACTGTACCATACTAGAGAGACTACTGTGTACTGTAATTATCTACACAACGTATATCCATCTCCTCTTTTCCTTCACATTATTGTGTGAACAGAGCATCTTATCATGTTAAGAAAATCTCTTGACAGAGACTCAAACTGATGAAAAATGTAAGAAAAATATTAAGGAGTGTTGAGGAGCTAAGAGATGTCGTTATTCATCTGTCATGATCACAGATCAATGCCACAGTGCAAAGACTAGCTGCTGATAAAGGAGAACTTTTACAGCAGCATGCAGATGAAGTGGATCAGTACGAGAGAAGAATAAGATCACTGACAGAAGAGGTCAGTTTATCTTACGTAAATACATGGCTGTTGATTAAGATGTTTATGGAATTCCTTTGCTTGGTTTATTTCTGCCAATATAATTATTTCAGGGTTCCATACATTTGATTGCTAACTTTCCAACAGACCTTGACTCAGTGTTGCAGACAAGTGCAGAGAGCTTAATTCATCATTTTCCAGCATTCAAAGATTTATAACAGTTGATCAATAAATTGTTTGCTGTGTATCTTAGTTTGAAACCGTTGAGTATTTTAGAGGTCTAATTTCAGTGAAATTATTTGACACTGCATTGTCATAAAGAAGGGAAGGTGCTCATTAAAGGGGAGGGACTTCATTTTAAAAAAAAATTGCATATAAAATTCTACAGGACACTTAAGGTTTTCAATCAAAGAAATACAATTGAACAATAATATAGTAGAAATATGGAAATGGTAAACTTTCTGCCATGCCAAACCACTTCCTGGAAACAAAGAAAGCTCGTAAGTTAATGCTTCTCATATTCTTTTTTATTGAAGGTGGAGTTACATGATAGAGAAAAGAGGCTTTTGATTGCTCAAGAGAGTGAACTTCAAGAAAGCATTCAGAGTTTGCAGAAGGAACTAGGTACATGTATGTCATAAAAAATAATAATATATGTCAGTCAAACTCCTGAGCTCTGGGCTCTAGGTAGAAAAGTAATGCATTCATGCACATGTAACCTAAATCTACAAACTTATTTTATTGACATCCTTGCTTTTATGTATACATGTATAAAGCTGATCTGCAAGACGATGAAGCCAGTCAACAAGTGGAATCCACTCAACTTGCCGCAGCTGAGATTGAAAGATTAGCGGAGGATAAACAAAGATTGGCTGAACACTTACAGCAAGAGGTATGATCTGTATTAACACTGACTTGTTTCCCTACTCTATTTTCCTCTTTTCTCTTGCTTTTTCACTTTTTAAAAGAATGCTTTAACTTCCTCAACTTTGCCTGTGTGCACATTATAAAGCCCGAGTAAAGTTTCCTCAGTGCAGTGTTTGCAGTGGCTACTAACTTTTTTCACAAGTTGTTGTAATGATTTACACACATTGTTCCTGTACTGTGATCTGTTGCATCTCATTAGCATCACTTTTTGGCCCAGGTAACTCATCACCAGTTTGTAGAATCTGATGGGAAATCCGTTCTTTTCTTTGTTGTGCTTGAGTTTTAAGGTGTTTTTTCTTTTCATTCTGGCAGGGCAAGGAAAATTCAAGACTTTTAAGGTATGCATTTCTTTCAAAGTACTCACTTTTCTATTTGTAAAGGTTGAAAAACTTATGAGCCTGTAGCAATCTCTGTGTCACTCATTGAATGCTTTATTCTTTATCAACCTTAGGGAGCAAGAACGATATCTGCTGAGAATACAAGAGTTAGAGACAGTAGTGGCTCGCCTGGGAGAGGAGTCTATTGATAGAGCCACCCTCCTGGAAAGTGTTCAGAGTGATAAGGAGACCATAAGCAGGTCAGGGGGGCTTGACTAAACAGAAAACTGCAATTTTGTTTCTTGATTGGAGTAGTCTCCTTTCAAACTATGGTTTATGGCAGTAGTTTGTCTGCATACTAGGATTTATATACCTCGTGTAGCACTGAAGGTTGACATATCTCAACACCTCAACTGTTTCTGTTCTTTGCAGAGCTTTAAAACAGAACAAAGAACTGAAAACGAAAACTGAAGAGTTAGAGGAGAGATTTATAACGATGGTATGAATTTCCTAATTGTAAAATGTATTTGATGACCCTTTTGTGTTATGAAGTAAAACAGTCCATGCTGGTGCCAAGAATATTAATATACTCTACTAAGATTTCTGCCATCATGTTAGACGTTAATGAGTGTATCAATTTTCAAGCAAAAAAAGTGACAATGGTATTTTTCCGTGCATGCGCATACTCTTGATTACGTGATCATTTCATTTCGTGGCGTAACAGCGAACAGGTACAGGTGTACATGTACATGTACATGTACATAATGATTTTGCAAAATGGAAAATCTCTCTTGTTTTAAATGATGACAGAGCCACTTCACAATAACAGGTATTAGACTTTAAGAATTGTGAATTGACACTTTGTTCATGTGACAGAGTCAAGAAAATATGGAGCTAACTACTACTTTGGAAACAGAACGGCACATGGCTAAAGAACTAGCGGCTAAACTCAGTGAAATGGGAGTTGAACTGGAGGAATCCAAACAGTTGGTGAGTGGATTTAGACTAGAAATCAACAAGGTTTTATTTCCTCTCTAACTTAGTCCTCCAACGCGTACAGGATATAATTGAGTAACGTATAGGCTTAAGATTTTTCCTGTATTCACTTCAAATGACTGGATGCAATTTGTGTAGCCTCTCTTCTATCGCGGCACACATTAATGGACACTCAATCATGGCCTCGGTCGTGGCTGACAAGAAAAGCTGCATTTTTAGACCTACATAGTCAAAAGGCCATGATTGAACATCCAGTCTTCAGATAGCTTAATAAAGGCAAGGTGTAATTGAGGAATTCCAACAGGTCAATAGATATACGCCTCACCAAATCTAATGTCCTTAACACGTGCTATCTATGTTACGTACGGTGTCTGCTTATAGTATGTACAATTGTAGTTTTATAGAGTATACTGTATCGAGTTTTGCCTGGATTCATTTATTGTCCATGCCTTTTTCCCTTCAATCTTTAACTTGCGTTTAGTATTAAAATTAGAGAGTTTGTCTCCCTAATGACTTTGTACCCTTGGCATTATGTTTCACAAGAAGGTAAGAAGTCTCGCAATTTTCCACCATACTTCAAAGTCTTAGCACTTTTATTGTTTCCTTGTGTTTAGCTTTCTACAAGGAATGCCGAAGTCCAGTCACTGACAGAAGAGCTGCAAGCTGTTTCTAGCAATCTTAGAGAAGAGGTGAGCGCATTTGTCATTTGCAATAATCATCTCGATGTCAGCTACAGTTCAGTGTCTTGTGTTGTAAGTAGTGGAAGTAATAGTACTGTAAGTAGTATTTTTGTCTGTTAGCAAGCTTCAGCAGTGCACACACAGTAGCCAAGATTAAAGTTTGAAGCGGTTATTTTCTTTGGGAAACAATGTCGTGGAAAGTTTTTTGACTTGTTCGACAAAAACGCTTTCTCGCTTCCTACAATATCAGTACTCTGTCAGGCAGACACGTGAATAGAATGAAAAAGATTATCAACAGTCAAATAGAGGGTGTGGACCCGATGTACCACGAAGTTCTCGGAACTCAAGTTAGTGGATATATGTGACGATCAGTTGGGAGAATTGATGGCACGATCCTGGAATTTACTCATCTTGGTGTCTTTTTTGATAGGTAATCAAAGGAGAAAGTGTGATTTCTTCACTCCGAGACGAACTTGACGTGTCTTCTCAGCAACTCCTTGATCAGGTTTGTCGCCTGCTGTTACCTAAACAATATTCTCATGTGGAGCGCAGAGACTTCAAAAACTAACAAGGAAAAGTTAAACTAGTGGAGTCTCTTCTGTTTCCCGATATGTATTCACAGCTATGATGACACTCTTACTGAAACATTTGTCGTGATTACAAGATTATACGCTATCCTGAGCTGTGATGCAAACCTGTTTCTTGCTGTAGAGTTCCTATGGTACTGTTTCCCTATGCGTTCAGCTATTGCTATTGCTTTTAGTGTTGAGGTAGTCCTTTTTGTAGCTGTGCTCAGGGAACTTAACAGAAGTTGGATTTGTATACCATTCTTTTATTTGCAGCTTAAGCAGAAGGAGTTTGAACTCTCGACGGTCCGCGGCGAAGTAGATGAGTCTTCTCAACGGCTGAAAGAACAGGTAAAGTTTGCGAGGATGATTCCCCATACATAATGAAACAAGCGACAATCTCTTTTTTTTAAACTTTAATTTGTCAAGTTACACACCTCATGTTGTCCCATAGCAAACGTAACAAGGAAGTCACTTCCATATTTTAAGATTTGGCTGTTTGAAGTTTAATTTTTAGCACGTCCTCGTTAAAAAACTCAAGAGTTTTTAATTCGGTTTATGTAATTTCAACTAGCGCAAGTACTGACAAATACTTCACAGCAAAGAGTCACACTCTAGACTGATGATAATCGTGCTGCTTAGTAGTAACTTTTGGGATGAAATATGGGGGCGTTGTCAATTCTCGTAGACGGCATGTTACCTTCGACTAGTACTCGTTCCCCTGACGGAACTGCTATTCACTGTTGTTTTGTGTTTGTCGAGACGGGGGTTGGGGTGGGGAGGGAGGGGGAGTGGCATTATGGTTATCGCGTGAGCACTTTGATTGGCTTCTTTCGGTTACATCTTTCGAAACACAAGGCTGCTCTGGTGCATGGTTTAAAATCTGGTTTTCTTGCTGAATTTCTTTCTTTTTTTATTATTTTAGTTGGCTAAGAAGGATTTGGAATTGGCTTCTCTGAAGGATCAGCTAAGCCAGTCAGAGGCGAGGCTGACTGAACAGGTACGTCATATTGCAACTCATGTCCTGTCCCGAATCATTGTTTGTCAGTAAACTCAACATGGAAATAAACATGCCGATCTTATTCTTCTATCAACGGTTACTGCACTCTCAGAAGTTGTTAATATCTTACGACTGTCTTTCCATCAGACCATATTGAATCTTGGACTGTTTTGTTTGTACTTTCAGTTTCTTTTGAATGAAGATAGTCACATGAACAAGAATCAAGCTGAACTTGCCAATAGCTTACAACAAGAGCTGCAGTTAGCGCAGGTCAGATACCAACTAAATACTTATATACATTTGTTTGTACAGCAGTAAGTAGGGGTGGGGAAACCGTGTGCTGTTTTAAAGCTTCTAAACCCAAAGAAAACCCGTAGCTAATCACACCGACGCAAATCACAACAACAAAAGTTAGTAACCTAAGTCAGGTGTAAGCCAGATCACGTTTAGTGTAAGTTTTGTACCAAGTGGCAGAAAAGCTTTTTGTTCTACACACTTTCAGTGAACCGTTTGCAAGGTTTGGCAAATACGAAACTTTAAAATATTTCTATGTAAACATACATGTACTTGCCAAAATTATTGGGCAAATCTTGTCCTTTTAAATTGAAATTGCGGCATCTGTTGAGGTTGCCTGATGACGTTGCGGTAAAGTTCGCGTTTTTTAAAAGCAGTTTATTTAGATGTACACTGACGGTGATTGTTTGATCTTCAGGACACGATCAGCCATTTAAGAGTGGAAAATTCTCAGCTGAAGGAAATGTTGTCAACCACTGAGAACCTCAGCAGCGTGGAACNAGTTGTCATGATGAGTTAATTTTAAATTAATTTGTCACTCCAGTTAGACATTTTAGAGGGCTTAGTGAGAATGACTTTTGGCCTACCACATCATAGTGACGACTTGTACATGTACATGTGATTCTAAGTTCTCACATTTCTCAGCACACTCTAATTACTGCGCCTTTCAATAACATGCGGACTCTAAAATTCAGAGCTTGACCGACAAAAGCATTTTTCACTGCCATCAATCAAATGTTCAGTGGCTCCTCCCGGTTTTTGACTACTTCCAAACACTGTTTCGTTGTCTGAACTGTGCTCAATGATTTGATTACTGCATGCCTGGCAGTAGTGGGAAGCTGGGAGGAGCCACCGAACATTTGATTGACGGTAGTGAAAAATACATTTGTCGATTGAGCTTTAATAATAAATAAATAAATTTAAATGTTAGAGTCCACATGTTATTGAAAGGCGCAGTAAAAAAATAATTCCTGTTGTTTTGTGGCAGCTTTCAGGAGAGCCAAACTCTTCAGCGAGCCAGAAGTTAGTTGAACAGTTACAAAACGAGAAAGCAGAGTTTGAAAATAAATTAGAACAGGTAAGGTGTACATGTATCAGCACACTTCTGTAATTTAAACTAGGCGGTCTGTGGTTTAGGTAAGCAATTTATCCAGCTTCAATATTGTAGTAGTGGTATGCTGTGTTTATGTGTAGAATTAATAACTACCACCATCTTACAAACTGCTTATTCACAAGATAAGCAAACCCAACAATTGGCCCTCAAACAGAATGAGACTAAATGGATTGAAACTACTTACATGTAGAACTTCAACTTCAACTAGAACTGACCAATTACTTGTGTCAAATTTTGTGGTTCCTATAACTAATAAGAACACAGCAAAACCAAATGATTATTTTAATTTAACACAGAAAAAAAACAATTCACTAGCTTGATATTTGAGGTACTTCCGCTCAGGTCTAAACTTCAGTCACCAACAGCAGGTCTGTACAAGACTGAAGAACTGTACCATACTAGAGAGACTACTGTGTACTGTAATTATCTACACAACGTATATCCATCTCCTCTTTTCCTTCACATTATTGTGTGAACAGAGCATCTTATCATGTTAAGAAAATCTCTTGACAGAGACTCAAACTGATGAAAAATGTAAGAAAAATATTAAGGAGTGTTGAGGAGCTAAGAGATGTCGTTATTCATCTGTCATGATCACAGATCAATGCCACAGTGCAAAGACTAGCTGCTGATAAAGGAGAACTTTTACAGCAGCATGCAGATGAAGTGGATCAGTACGAGAGAAGAATAAGATCACTGACAGAAGAGGTCAGTTTATCTTACGTAAATACATGGCTGTTGATTAAGATGTTTATGGAATTCCTTTGCTTGGTTTATTTCTGCCAATATAATTATTTCAGGGTTCCATACATTTGATTGCTAACTTTCCAACAGACCTTGACTCAGTGTTGCAGACAAGTGCAGAGAGCTTAATTCATCATTTTCCAGCATTCAAAGATTTATAACAGTTGATCAATAAATTGTTTGCTGTGTATCTTAGTTTGAAACCGTTGAGTATTTTAGAGGTCTAATTTCAGTGAAATTATTTGACACTGCATTGTCATAAAGAAGGGAAGGTGCTCATTAAAGGGGAGGGACTTCATTTTAAAAAAAAATTGCATATAAAATTCTACAGGACACTTAAGGTTTTCAATCAAAGAAATACAATTGAACAATAATATAGTAGAAATATGGAAATGGTAAACTTTCTGCCATGCCAAACCACTTCCTGGAAACAAAGAAAGCTCGTAAGTTAATGCTTCTCATATTCTTTTTTATTGAAGGTGGAGTTACATGATAGAGAAAAGAGGCTTTTGATTGCTCAAGAGAGTGAACTTCAAGAAAGCATTCAGAGTTTGCAGAAGGAACTAGGTACATGTATGTCATAAAAAATAATAATATATGTCAGTCAAACTCCTGAGCTCTGGGCTCTAGGTAGAAAAGTAATGCATTCATGCACATGTAACCTAAATCTACAAACTTATTTTATTGACATCCTTGCTTTTATGTATACATGTATAAAGCTGATCTGCAAGACGATGAAGCCAGTCAACAAGTGGAATCCACTCAACTTGCCGCAGCTGAGATTGAAAGATTAGCGGAGGATAAACAAAGATTGGCTGAACACTTACAGCAAGAGGTATGATCTGTATTAACACTGACTTGTTTCCCTACTCTATTTTCCTCTTTTCTCTTGCTTTTTCACTTTTTAAAAGAATGCTTTAACTTCCTCAACTTTGCCTGTGTGCACATTATAAAGCCCGAGTAAAGTTTCCTCAGTGCAGTGTTTGCAGTGGCTACTAACTTTTTTCACAAGTTGTTGTAATGATTTACACACATTGTTCCTGTACTGTGATCTGTTGCATCTCATTAGCATCACTTTTTGGCCCAGGTAACTCATCACCAGTTTGTAGAATCTGATGGGAAATCCGTTCTTTTCTTTGTTGTGCTTGAGTTTTAAGGTGTTTTTTCTTTTCATTCTGGCAGGGCAAGGAAAATTCAAGACTTTTAAGGTATGCATTTCTTTCAAAGTACTCACTTTTCTATTTGTAAAGGTTGAAAAACTTATGAGCCTGTAGCAATCTCTGTGTCACTCATTGAATGCTTTATTCTTTATCAACCTTAGGGAGCAAGAACGATATCTGCTGAGAATACAAGAGTTAGAGACAGTAGTGGCTCGCCTGGGAGAGGAGTCTATTGATAGAGCCACCCTCCTGGAAAGTGTTCAGAGTGATAAGGAGACCATAAGCAGGTCAGGGGGGCTTGACTAAACAGAAAACTGCAATTTTGTTTCTTGATTGGAGTAGTCTCCTTTCAAACTATGGTTTATGGCAGTAGTTTGTCTGCATACTAGGATTTATATACCTCGTGTAGCACTGAAGGTTGACATATCTCAACACCTCAACTGTTTCTGTTCTTTGCAGAGCTTTAAAACAGAACAAAGAACTGAAAACGAAAACTGAAGAGTTAGAGGAGAGATTTATAACGATGGTATGAATTTCCTAATTGTAAAATGTATTTGATGACCCTTTTGTGTTATGAAGTAAAACAGTCCATGCTGGTGCCAAGAATATTAATATACTCTACTAAGATTTCTGCCATCATGTTAGACGTTAATGAGTGTATCAATTTTCAAGCAAAAAAAGTGACAATGGTATTTTTCCGTGCATGCGCATACTCTTGATTACGTGATCATTTCATTTCGTGGCGTAACAGCGAACAGGTACAGGTGTACATGTACATGTACATGTACATAATGATTTTGCAAAATGGAAAATCTCTCTTGTTTTAAATGATGACAGAGCCACTTCACAATAACAGGTATTAGACTTTAAGAATTGTGAATTGACACTTTGTTCATGTGACAGAGTCAAGAAAATATGGAGCTAACTACTACTTTGGAAACAGAACGGCACATGGCTAAAGAACTAGCGGCTAAACTCAGTGAAATGGGAGTTGAACTGGAGGAATCCAAACAGTTGGTGAGTGGATTTAGACTAGAAATCAACAAGGTTTTATTTCCTCTCTAACTTAGTCCTCCAACGCGTACAGGATATAATTGAGTAACGTATAGGCTTAAGATTTTTCCTGTATTCACTTCAAATGACTGGATGCAATTTGTGTAGCCTCTCTTCTATCGCGGCACACATTAATGGACACTCAATCATGGCCTCGGTCGTGGCTGACAAGAAAAGCTGCATTTTTAGACCTACATAGTCAAAAGGCCATGATTGAACATCCAGTCTTCAGATAGCTTAATAAAGGCAAGGTGTAATTGAGGAATTCCAACAGGTCAATAGATATACGCCTCACCAAATCTAATGTCCTTAACACGTGCTATCTATGTTACGTACGGTGTCTGCTTATAGTATGTACAATTGTAGTTTTATAGAGTATACTGTATCGAGTTTTGCCTGGATTCATTTATTGTCCATGCCTTTTTCCCTTCAATCTTTAACTTGCGTTTAGTATTAAAATTAGAGAGTTTGTCTCCCTAATGACTTTGTACCCTTGGCATTATGTTTCACAAGAAGGTAAGAAGTCTCGCAATTTTCCACCATACTTCAAAGTCTTAGCACTTTTATTGTTTCCTTGTGTTTAGCTTTCTACAAGGAATGCCGAAGTCCAGTCACTGACAGAAGAGCTGCAAGCTGTTTCTAGCAATCTTAGAGAAGAGGTGAGCGCATTTGTCATTTGCAATAATCATCTCGATGTCAGCTACAGTTCAGTGTCTTGTGTTGTAAGTAGTGGAAGTAATAGTACTGTAAGTAGTATTTTTGTCTGTTAGCAAGCTTCAGCAGTGCACACACAGTAGCCAAGATTAAAGTTTGAAGCGGTTATTTTCTTTGGGAAACAATGTCGTGGAAAGTTTTTTGACTTGTTCGACAAAAACGCTTTCTCGCTTCCTACAATATCAGTACTCTGTCAGGCAGACACGTGAATAGAATGAAAAAGATTATCAACAGTCAAATAGAGGGTGTGGACCCGATGTACCACGAAGTTCTCGGAACTCAAGTTAGTGGATATATGTGACGATCAGTTGGGAGAATTGATGGCACGATCCTGGAATTTACTCATCTTGGTGTCTTTTTTGATAGGTAATCAAAGGAGAAAGTGTGATTTCTTCACTCCGAGACGAACTTGACGTGTCTTCTCAGCAACTCCTTGATCAGGTTTGTCGCCTGCTGTTACCTAAACAATATTCTCATGTGGAGCGCAGAGACTTCAAAAACTAACAAGGAAAAGTTAAACTAGTGGAGTCTCTTCTGTTTCCCGATATGTATTCACAGCTATGATGACACTCTTACTGAAACATTTGTCGTGATTACAAGATTATACGCTATCCTGAGCTGTGATGCAAACCTGTTTCTTGCTGTAGAGTTCCTATGGTACTGTTTCCCTATGCGTTCAGCTATTGCTATTGCTTTTAGTGTTGAGGTAGTCCTTTTTGTAGCTGTGCTCAGGGAACTTAACAGAAGTTGGATTTGTATACCATTCTTTTATTTGCAGCTTAAGCAGAAGGAGTTTGAACTCTCGACGGTCCGCGGCGAAGTAGATGAGTCTTCTCAACGGCTGAAAGAACAGGTAAAGTTTGCGAGGATGATTTCCCATACATAATGAAACAAGCGACAATCTCTTTTTTTAAAACTTTAATTTGTCAAGTTACACACCTCATGTTGTCCCATAGCAAACGTAACAAGGAAGTCAATTCCATATTTTAAGATTTGGCTGTTTCAAGTTTCATTTTTGGCACGTCCTCGTTACAAAACTCAAGAGTTTTCAATTCGATTTATGCAATTTCAACTAACGCAAGTACTGACAAATACTTCACAGCAAAGAGTCACACTCTAGACTGATGATAATCGTGCTGCTTAGTAGTAACTTTTGGGATGAAATATGGGGGCGTTGTCAATTCTCGTAGACGGCATGTTACCTTCGACTAGTACTCGTTCCCCTGACGGAACTGCTATTCACTGTTGTTTTGTGTTTGTCGAGACGGGGGTTGGGGTGGGGAGGGAGGGGGAGTGGCATTATGGTTATCGCGTGAGCACTTTGATTGGCTTCTTTCGGTTACATCTTTCGAAACACAAGGCTGCTCTGGTGCATGGTTTAAAATCTGGTTTTCTTGCTGAATTTCTTTCTTTTTTTATTATTTTAGTTGGCTAAGAAGGATTTGGAATTGGCTTCTCTGAAGGATCAGCTAAGCCAGTCAGAGGCGAGGCTGACTGAACAGGTACGTCATATTGCAACTCATGTCCTGTCCCGAATCATTGTTTGTCAGTAAACTCAACATGGAAATAAACATGCCGATCTTATTCTTCTATCAACGGTTACTGCACTCTCAGAAGTTGTTAATATCTTACGACTGTCTTTCCATCAGACCATATTGAATCTTGGACTGTTTTGTTTGTACTTTCAGTTTCTTTTGAATGAAGATAGTCACATGAACAAGAATCAAGCTGAACTTGCCAATAGCTTACAACAAGAGCTGCAGTTAGCGCAGGTCAGATACCAACTAAATACTTATATACATTTGTTTGTACAGCAGTAAGTAGGGGTGGGGAAACCGTGTGCTGTTTTAAAGCTTCTAAACCCAAAGAAAACCCGTAGCTAATCACACCGACGCAAATCACAACAACAAAAGTTAGTAACCTAAGTCAGGTGTAAGCCAGATCACGTTTAGTGTAAGTTTTGTACCAAGTGGCAGAAAAGCTTTTTGTTCTACACACTTTCAGTGAACCGTTTGCAAGGTTTGGCAAATACGAAACTTTAAAATATTTCTATGTAAACATACATGTACTTGCCAAAATTATTGGGCAAATCTTGTCCTTTTAAATTGAAATTGCGGCATCTGTTGAGGTTGCCTGATGACGTTGCGGTAAAGTTCGCGTTTTTTAAAAGCAGTTTATTTAGATGTACACTGACGGTGATTGTTTGATCTTCAGGACACGATCAGCCATTTAAGAGTGGAAAATTCTCAGCTGAAGGAAATGTTGTCAACCACTGAGAACCTCAGCAGCGTGGAACCCTCGGGAAGCGAGAGTAAGTTTGTATATTAATATAAGTATAATACGTCCTTACATCACTTAAAATGATGTTGCGCCCCGAATTTCAAATCCCTGACCTCTCGTTGTGTAGGCAGATTTCGTACCAACATCATTTAACCTTTGAACTTGCTCATTTCACCCACAGGTTCAGACGAAGACGAAAAAGGCCTTGTTGATGCCCACATGCCCAACGGTAACATGGACAATGAAGACGGTGAGATCCACATCAAGAGGCTTCCTCCAGACGTTATCCCGGTACAGGCAACAGAGCACATAATGGAGGAGAAACCGCCGTTCATGAATGGAAACCTAAGTGAGGGAGAGAGTCCTGTGGAGACGGACTCCAGTGAGGATATGAATATGGCGCCTCACAGGATACCACCCCCTCCCCCTCTGTCCAAATACACTAACCGGGAGGACATGGTACGAGTAGACGTAACAATGCCTTAGTACTGGACTGTAGTTATGTTACTTCTGTCTTGAATCTTTGCAAATAGTCTTTTGTTCATATTTTTTCTTCTTTCTTTTTTGGTTTAACAAAGAATCAGAATTTGGATGAAGTACACAATGCTTTATTTTCAACTTGTCTTTCAAGGGCCTTACTCTACTTTCCAAATTTTCATTTGTGTTTTGTTGTATTTTTTTTTTACTTAAAGGCTTCCAACATTTTTCTTTTGATTGTACAGGTTGATTCACTGTCTGCATCCATCCGTCAACTTGAGATGGAGCGAGATCAGTTAGCAGACATTTTACACAGAACTCAAGATCAACAAGACGACGACTTTCAGAGATTGCAACAACATCTGGAACTGCAGCTTAAACAGCAACTTCAACAGCAATACAGACAGGTACATTTTATCCTTAGAAGAGAAGATTTCATAAAATCAGGTTACAAGTTTTCCACTCGCTTTAAAACTTTAAAAGTGCTGGTCATCTTTTTTCTTCCTTGACTTCCTAATATTCCAGTGTATTTTTAGAGTTTTCAACCAATATTTTAAGGTTTGAACCTTTGTGTGTTTGAGGGAATCTCCTAAAACAATGTGATCGAGCGCGACGTATCTAGCGAGACAGGGGGTCGCGCGTGACATACCCCCTTAAAAAAACGTGACCTTATACTTTCGTGACTCAGCGTGACACCACTGCCTAAAATGTTGGGACCGGGTCTCTTATTACGAGACTTCTACTAATTTTGTAACCACTCTTTTTCCTTGGCAGGTGCAGGAGCAATTTCAACAACAGCTTCATGAGCAGCAGCAGAAGATTCAACTGCTGCAGGCTGTGGTGCAGAAACAAAAGGCGCAAATCGAGAAAAAAGAAGAACCTGACCTGCCTAACATTCCACTTGATCAGCTTGGTCAGGGAGACCTGTCACACGACGCAATCAAGATGGCTTTCAGTAAACTGCAGGTACAAAGCATCAGCGGGGGTTTCTAGAGGTTCTCTGTGGCTTGCGTGACACCGACGCTGTCTTTCTTTCTAAGAGCTCCGACGCCTCCTGGTGCAATCAAACAGAATGAATGAACGAACGAAAGAACGAACTTTATTTAACTGCCTGATTGAATAATAGAGTATTTCCGCAGTACGGTGATTGTTTGGTACCATTTATTTTGTTGCAGGCGCGGTTTATGAAGTTAATGAATGAAAAAGCCTCGCTAATAGAGAGAATACAAGAACTTGAACATATCACGGTACAACTGTCTCACGAAACAGAAACTATCGGTGAGTATTTACGCTGATGGTAACTCCGCAAATTGTTTAAGTTTGGAGTGTGGTTGAGAATTTAAACCAAAAACCAGATTTCATCAGTGATTGTTCCCAAGAATAAAACCGAATCATCAGACTCAATCGTTTTTCTTCCTTATGAGGTAACGTTTTTTATTCAGTGGTATTTGCTGAATGATGAATTCCTCTCTTTGCCATTTCCAGGAGAGTACATCACTCTTTATCAAACCCAGAGGAATGCTCTAAAGGCTTACTACAAAGATCGTGAGAGAATGATTGCTCAGTTGTCTAGCGAGAAAGCCAACATGCAGGTCAGTGTGTTCGTGTATCTTAACCCTCTCTGTCTCAATATGGAATGTGTGAATCTCCTATTTCATTTCCATTTAATTCTTTGAGCTCTGGGAACCAAAATAATATTTCGGTGAAATAAATTTTATTTCCGGTGCTGTCTTTATTTTACGATCTGCATTCCCGATCTTGATGCTGACCGAAATTATCGCTGGCTCTTAACAGGTTACTGCGGGAAAAAAAAGCTGCGAATGCACATTTTACAATAAATTTTAGTTTACTGCGGAACCACTCACCTGCGTCTCGTGGTTCCACACCCACTTTGACTATGTTATTACGCAATTTATCATCGATAAGAGGACGGACGCATAAAAAACTGACGTCAAATTGTTAATTTCACACTACGCCTTAAAATATCTTCCTTTGTTTTCTTCTCTTTGATTTCTAGGAGAAAATGAATCAACTACAAGACTTAGTCAAACGAATGCTGGACGAAAGAAAAGAACTAAGAATCCAACAACATCAATTACAAAACGTAATTAACAGTCGAATGGTTGCTCACGAACACGAGTCTGTCATTTCTGCATACCACGATGGCGACGAGGTCATTGTACCGCAGGCGGAAGTGAGCGTAGAAAGCGAAACGAACAGTCAAAACTTAGACGACAGCGATCGATCTTACCTCGAAGAAACAGAAACCGAACTTAGTCAACTGGACAATACTGGGGATTTAGATCGAAACGACGGCACCGCTCGTCAAATTTTACAGATTCTAGAACAGTTAGGACCTTCTGAGGAAGGTACTCATAAAGGTTGGATATCGCCCGATGTACGGAGCAGGGAGTTCTTACCTTGTCGATCTTGCGGAGGCCGCGTCCTCAGACTGTAGTCGTATAAATCTGGTGTCATGAGTAGAAATATTTTAGATAACAATAGAATTACTGGGCACGAGCTGTCAGACACGTGACCGATCAGTTCATGGTCGTCATGACTACAGCTGTTTCGACAAAGGTTGTCCCACACAAGCGTAAAAGCGTACGTGACAATGCCGATTGGCATTATGGGTAATAATAGTTTGGCGTTCCTTGATTGAGCTTGACAGTGTTTCAGGAAGAAAAAGCATAAATATACGTGTTTGTGCTATTTCCTTCTGTTATGATGAAATGCCTTTAGCTTCAATCAAGCAACCGTTGGCCACCATTACCCATAATACCTTTCGACATTGTCGCGTACGCTTTTACGCTTTCTTAGGACAACCTTTCTTGAAACAGCTGTATACCGTGGGATACCTAACACTACAGACTTCACACTGGTCTGGCTGTTAGCGTGACCCGATGTCAAAGTGAACTTTGACCGAGCACCCTTGATATTCGTAGC